CTCTAGAACCCTCAGTTTGTTTTTCAGAGTCCATCGTCTCTCATGGTTCGTCCACCCCTCCGATTTCCCCCGCTTCATTCTTCCCCTCCCGCTACCTTCTGAAGAAGGCAATTCTTAAATGGTAGCAGGCGAGGCAACCATCAGCCCTTTGCCCATCTTGAGATAGAAAGGAAGCTTGATCATTGGTAGAGATCAGGTAGAAATAAGTGTAGCGTACTTCAAAGGAACTACTCAGAGACCCTGACCCATGTCCTCTAGAATTTGGGGATGGAGGGGCTGACCCATGCCTAAGTGGTCCTAAGGCAAGAGACCAGCTGGCTACCCAAACCCCTAAAGGCAAGAAGAGGCTGCATTTCCATAGAAAGAGAGGCAAAAGCACTTGTATCCCATGGGCTGGATTGGACCCCTTGAAACAGAGCCACCTTTGGTTAACACAAGCCAGGTGACCCAAACCAGCAGGGTGAGTGTAGTTGAAGCACATGGCAGGCAAGAAAGAAAAAAGAATCTGGTTCAAGATATAAAGTGAGTGTTTCTGAGAGAGACTGCTATGTGCCAGGCCTCAAAAATGATTAGACAGTGTTCCTGTCTTTGTGATTTTGAGCCAATGGAGGATAAATAGGTACTCAAAGAATTTCAGTATATTGTGATGCTGAGGAGGTTAGGTTTTGTCCTGTAGAGACTGGATGCTACTGCTATTGAAGGATTTAAGATCATGAGTGGCAGTGTGGAGAATGGATATGACAGGGCCAAATATGGAGGCAGAGAGACCAGTTAGATCATAACATCAGTTGCTAAACTCAGAATGAGCCTTAAGGGCCTGACATAGGAAGGGAATAGTAAGTATGGAAAAGAAGAGGCAATTCAAGCAAACTTGGAGTAAAAGGCAAAAACCTCACTAAGCCTTAAGACTGACTGGATTTAGAAAATGGGAGTGAGGAAACGATTCCAGATGACTCCCAGATTTCTGTAAGTGGCTTAAGGGAAAGTTTGTGATAGTTAAAACCAAGAGTTACTCGATGTTGTACACCGAAGAAAGACAGTGAGCCACTGCTGGAAACCCAGGAGACTCCAGCCTGAGGTTGAGGATATTAGTAAGGTCCTGTTTAGGGTGTGGCCATAGGCTTGAGCTATTGAAGCCATGCTGAGTCTTTGGATCTGAGGCTTTCAAAAAAAACTAGGATCTCTATATGCTACTGACAGAGATTTCCACTGTTAGATTGTAAATTCATATTTTAGGTTTATGAGCCAGGATTTCTACGATTAAATACATAAATGCATACCTCATTAAGCGTCAACATATCTTCTACTTTGGTAGCACCACCTTCGGGCAGGGAAATTAACACAGTTTTGGCTATCTCCTTTAGAACTGTATCAATATGCATTTCACACAAGTCACTGATCTACCAACAAGAAAAAAAAATGTAGAGGAAAACTCTTCTTTCATCCAAATGTACTTGAGTTATAAACTAATTTAGAGGGCTATATCTAGAAACTTGGGTCCTGAGCCAAGCACAATTTGGTGGAAATTTTAGGAGTACATCTGCAAAGAAGGCTTAATGTGGAACTAAAGTTTTATAGAGCAAGCATCATGTGCCATAATCTCACGTGTTATCTCTTTTAATCCTTACTCTAGTCCTTGACTCACTTACTATCCAAGTTATACAGCTAAAGAAACAAAGACTCAGATAAGTAAAGTAACCTAGGAAGGAACACATAGATAGCAAAAGGCAGATCATTGTAACTAGGTTTAGCTGACTCCCAAGCCTCCAAGTTTTGTCTATTGTAACATGCTGCCATCACAGGCCAGCATATCTAAAAAGGGCATGATCCGTATAGCAAAGATATCAGAAATCAATAGACAATCTCCAATTAGATGAATGGCTCATCTAACTAATAGTAGATGTATTAATATTTAAGCATTCCATTCTGTCATCTTCTACTGTCTACCATTATCCCATTTTCTAAACTGCCCGGTGGAGTTGAACTACCATTTTAACATATTGAAGGCAAGTAATTCAGAGACAAAAACAAGGCAACCCTAAATGAAAAGGCCCCAAAGTAGCTAGAGAAACATAAAGCATTATTTTTTTAACTTAATAGGAGTCCTTTTAGTTAAAAGTCACACCCTTTAAATAGCTTTCATAGATAAGCAAACTATTCCTTATAGCCTGCGTATGAATGTATGTAGTTTTTAAAAATGTATCTATCATACCTTCTTTAAAAGTTGATTGAACATATCCAAAACTAAGTCAACTTCTTGAAAGAAGCTTTCCAGTGTTAAAGATGACCATGTTAATATTGTGAGCCCTTGTCTCAACACAGATTCCACCTAGAAAAAGAAAAAAAAAAAAAGTAGCAGCTTCCATGATTAACAGGAACACCTACACTTATTAAAACAAAAAAAAGGCTTTCTTTTATTACCTGGAAATATTATAGGTTATATTTCCTTAATTATATTTCCCTCCATTATACCTGGTAAAGGTGACTTTGTTTTTTAATCATCTTTGGCTGTCCATGAAGAATCATGGATTCTTAGAAAGTGCTCATTATTGAGATTTAGTCATTTTTCAAAGGCAACAAAACTTGTTGACAAGGAATCATTCTATAGGAAAAATAGGGCTATAATGTTGAACTAGAAAGACAGAGGATCTAGGCAAGAATAGATGTTCTAAAATCCATAATCTGTAGAATGGGAATCTAATTTTAAACAACAGGGAAATCAATATAAATCTTCAGCATTACCAACCTTTTTCATTTTAGGGGTCATCACATTGACAAACACCGAAGGCACTTCCTGACATAAGTCATCGTAATACTGCAGAAGACCCTGTTGAAAGTCAAAATGGTATGTGTTACTTTAATTTATTTTAAAGCAGGTCATATTTTGATTCATACCAGGAAGGTTTCATTATACCTGTTTCCTCATAATCCTGCCAAGATTAAGGCTGCTCACCTAAATTTAAATTAATTTACCATACTTTTTCCTCACCTGTAAATGTACTTTAAACAGCAAGTCAGTGGAGCTTTCTAGAGTTGCACGTTTCATATTTATTATTTAATTATCTTTCTATATTTACTTTATTTCAAATAGCTTGGGTAATTATCTTTTCACAATACCTGTCATTATACATTTTTCCCCTTTCTGTTCTTTGTCTTCTGACACATTAAAGCATACTTGTTACTGATGCCACACTTCTTTTCTTGAATCAAAATAAATGTATGCACAGTCAGAGTTAATAGGCTTATCTATTTTCTTTTAGATATTTTTTAGAAATGAACCATAATGATCAACTTTTGATCATTTTGTAATTTATTTCATGGTGTGATGGGAAATGTGGATTCAAGTTAATTCTTCCCCAAATAAACAATATTAAACTATTTCAATGTTTACTTAATAGTTTTGAACTTACTAATTCCTTTCCTCCTTTTCTGTTCCCAATCTCCTATTTGCACATCAGTATTTTAATACTATAAAGAAGAAACAAGGGAATATAACACTGTATGTTAACTATACTGGAATATAAAATAAAATAAAATAAAATAAAAAAGAATAAACAAGGGAACAGAATAGATGGCCCAGAAATAGGAGCCAAAACTATACAATAGTAAAAGGGCAGTCTCTTTAATAAATAGTGTTGGGAAAACTGGACAGTCATATGCAAAAGAATGAAACTGGACACCTATCTTATAACACACACACAAATCAACTCAAAATGGATTAAAGACTTAAATTTAAGACCTGAAACTGTAAAACTCCAAAAAGAAAACATGGGGGTAAGCTCCTTGACATCGGTCCTGGCAATGATTTTTGGATTTAATACCAAAAGCACAAGCAACAAAAGCAAAAATAAACAAGTGGACTATATAAACTAAAAGCTTCTGCACAGCAAAGGAAACCATCAACAAAATGAAAAGGCAGCCTATGGAATGGGAGAAAATATTTACAAATCATGTATCTGATAAAGGGTTAATAGCCAAAATATATAAGGAACTCATTCACACAACTCAATAGCAAAAAACTCTTAACAATCTAACTAAAACATGTGCTAAGGAACTGAATGGACATTTTTCCAAAGAAGACACACAAATGGCCAAAAGGTCCATGGAAAAGGTAGTCAATATCTCTAACCATCTGGGAAATGCAAATCAAAACCACAATGAGATGGTACCTCACATCTGTTAGAAGGGCTATTCTCAAAAAGACAAGAGATAACAAGTGTTGGCCAGCACATCGAGAAAAGGGAACCCCTGTGCACTGTTGGTGTGAATGTAAATTGGTGCCGCCACCATGGAAAACAGTATGGAGTTCCTCAAAAAGTTAAAAATAAAAATACCATATGATGTAGCAATCCCACTTCTGAATGTAGATCTAGAGGAAATGAAATCAGAATCTCGAAGAGATATCTACACTCCCATGTTCATTGCAGCATTATTTACAATAGCCAAGATATGGAAACATGCATCAATAGATGAATGGAAAAAGAAAATATGGTATATATACGCAATAGAGTATTATTCAGACATGAGAAAGAAAGACATCCTGCCGTTTGCAACAACATGGATGGACCTTGAAAGCCTTATGCTAAATGAAATAAGGCAGACAGAGAAAAACAAACACTATATGATCTCACTTATATGTGGAATCTTAAAAAGCTGAACTTGTAAAAACAGCAGAAAAGTGGTTGCCAGGTGTTGGAGGTGGGGAGGGAATAGGAAGAGGTTGGTAAAAGGGTACAATCTTTCAGGTAAAAGATGAATAAGGACTGAAGATCCAATGTATAACATGGTGTCTGTAACTGATAACACTATATCATATAATCGAATTTTGCTAAGAGAATAGGACTTAAACATTCTCACCAAAAAGAAACAAATATATATGTGTATATATAAACAGATACATATTGTTTCTTTCTGGTTTAATATATACATATATATGTTATATATATATATGAGGTGCTGAATGAACTACATGACAGGAATCCTTTCATAATGTATATTTATATCAAATCATCATGATGTACACTTTAAATATCTTACAATTTTATTTGTCAACCGTACCTCAATAAAGCTGAAGAAAAATGAAAATAATCAATACCACATCAGCACAACTGCAGTGATTTAATTTTCTTTTTTTTAAGAAAAAAAAAAACCTCCTTCAAAAATAATTTTAAAATATAATCTATCTTGGGGTGCCTAGGTGGCTCAGTCAGTTGGGCATTGGACTCTTGGTTTCAGCTCAGGTCATGATCTCAAAGTCGAAGGATGGAGCCCCAGATCAGGCTCTGCACTGAGTCAGCTTCAGATTCTTTCTCCCTTTGCCCTCCCCGCCCCCTCCGTTCACGCTTGTGCACGCATGCATGTGCTCTCTTTTACTCTCGTGCCCTCTCTCTCAAATAAATAAATAAAATCTTTAAAATATATGTATATAATCTATTTTACCTGCAAATGCAATTTGTCTGCTTTCAATTTACTTTCCAATTTTAGCAATTTCTTTGCCTGTTCTGGTACATCCAACTTCATTTTTATCATGCACTTAGTTTCCCGAACAACTTCCAGAATTTTGGGATCAAAATTAACCAGCAACTTCCCAGTTTCTGGGTGTCGCACAAAAAGTGTGGCTTGTAAAGCTACAAATAAATGATTATCGACATTAGTTTTTCTGGATTTCTTTTTTGTTTGTTTTTGTTTGTTTGTTTGTTTTTGGCTTTCTTTTTTTTAATTTTATTTTATTATATTATGTTAATCACCATACATTACATCATTAGTTTTTGATGTAGTGTTCCATGATTCATTGTTTGTGTATAACACCCAGTGCTCCATTCAATACGTGCCCTCTCTGCTTCCAGCCATGTTTACACACCTGTCTTCCCCACTGGGAACTGACTTCTTAATAGAACAATAGTGTTGGATATCCCAGGTGATGAGGCATAGCATCTGACATGTGGTCAGTGCTCAAAACTTAAATAAGTGAATGCAGAATGTCTGCAAGCGCATAAAATCAGATCCGGAGAGATAAAAATGAGTGAAGAATAGATAGCCTTCGTGCTATGAACTGCAACACTTTTCTGAGTGGGTCTAAGAGAGCTATAATACAATGTAGTTTCTTTTAATGGATTGTGATTTCACCCCTGGGAGAGAACTGGAATGTGTGCACAACTATAAAATATGACATACCTCATATGACAAACCCTTCTCCACAATGAACCCCAAACTGCTTCTTTAAAGGAAGAATTAAGCTTCCATCTTGAATGTCTGGTAACTAAGCTCAATATCAGTAAGATATATTTATTAAACACCATGGCATTGTGAGCTTCTAGGATATAGAGAAAGATTTTTTTTATGCTACACCTTAACTACTACCTGAACATCATTCATATAAATAGGAATTTGCAGGCATGCTTTTTATTATGAATTGAAATATATAATCCCGGTTAGTGGTGAGTAGCCTTAGCTTATTTGTTATCCTAACATGAATTACTTCTACAGGCATAATAATAACACACTTCTAGATGAGTATGTGCTAGCTTAAATTATATCTTATATTAACAAACACTACTAACATGAGAATTTCTTATGTATCTTCCAAGCCTCTCATTACTTCATAGACTGTGGCTGCATCGAATTTCTAGTAAAATGAAATAGTCCGTATATTCCTTTGAAGTTAGTTGACTTTTACTCATCATATAAAATTAGTCTTGAAATGGTTCTTAATGATGCTGGCTGCATGAGGATTTCAACTAAAAATTTTACCTAATTTGTTTGGAATCTTTTTAAAATTGGGTTAGAAATCATTTATCCTCCCAAGTGAATTCCAAAATAACCTTGGAACATTCATTTAATGAAATCTATCTTCCTTTAGGCTATACTGAGTTTTCTTGAAAGGACAAAATGGTCAGCAAGACCACCAAGAATAATGACAGCCAAGAAGTCAGCTCCAATACTGAGTGACATTTCATTAAACTTTATGGAGCAACCATCTGAAAGAGGCCAATACCAGGTCCTCAATTATTATTCCGAGTTCCTATATGGTTAAATATAGCCACGTCAATATAATAAGAAGTCTTGCTGAGCAATTCATTTCCACTAACCTGTGTTCGTAGGAAAGGCAGATTTAAATCTTAGCTTTGCCACTTCCTAGCTGTGTGATGAGCTTGTGCAAATGACTTAATCTCTTAGCACCTCAGTTTCCTCATCTATAAAATGAGGATAATTATAGCTCCTCGTAGGGTCACCATGAGGATTAAAGGAAGCGTCATATGTAAAGTGCTTTGACAAAGCCTGGCACAGGGTAAGGACTATGTAAGTGTTCGTTATCACTGACTGTTATTTAAAGGATACAAAGATGAAACAAACAGAGAGAGTATCCTTGGAATGTGAAGGGGAGATGAGACGGATCCCTAAAGCCATAAGTGTCATGAGAAACAAGAGCAGATAAAGTGAGTAGAGGACTCTGGAGGAGGAAGACATTATTTTCTGCTGTGGAAAAATAAGGAGGGGCTATATGGAAGAGGTGACTGGTGAACTTGTTTTTGAACATGGGCCGATATGAGGAAAAACCATCAGGACAAAAGAAGAGAAGCGTATGATATTGTAGAAGCAAAATAGTGTCTGCTCCATACTTCAGTTAACAAACAATTCTGTTTTGTTCTTTTCCATAACGTGAACTTTAAGTTTCTCTTGATGCTCCTTGGGAGTGTTGTAGCTAGTTTTCAGGAGGATCCATAGGGTCCTACCATATTCATTACCCAGAAACAGCTGGCCTGGTACAAGTGGCTTATTAAAGGCTAAACTAAGGGGCCAATTGGGGAAGACAATCTGCAGGGCTGGGACCCTGTCCTCCAGGATGCAGGCGTGAGCGAATCAATGGTGGTAACAGTGACATGTCCTCAAACAGCTAAAATATATGGGTCTGGAACCAAGAGGCAGAAACAGAGTGGCCGCTCTTACTATCACTCCCAGTGATGCAACCATAGGATTTGTGCTTCCTGTGCCTGTAGTTTTGTACCCTTCGGGGTGGGGATCCTGGTATGGGAAGGAGAAACCTTTCTGTCCAGGGACACAGTCAGGGTTCCACCAAGATTATAGATGGGACAATGCAGGAACCTGAACTGACCAACAATTGAGCCCCCATGGTAAAAAAACAGCCCAGGTGATGGCAGCATATGGATGCATGATGGCTTGAAACCATCCATCCCCTGCCTCACAGCCGACTCCACCCAATGCTTTGGCACCCCGCAGAGATACTTAGACACAGCCCCAATACTATGAATTTCCTGGAGTTCAAAAGTGAAGTTAAATTCAGTTATAGAAAAAGAAAGAATGGAAGGGAAAGGAAGACAAGCAAAGTGCAATTCTTTCTCCCCTGATTGGGACTAAGATTTGAATCTATAACATGACAAAACTGAGTATGAAAACTTCCCCTAAATCTATGGAGAAATATCTATGAAGGGTCTCAATATTTACTTTTAAATACTGTTTTTTTTAGTGGAAAGTCACAATCGAAGTATATCAACTCTAAGGTGATGACAACTTTTGCTTATAGAATCAGAATGTTATTAACAACGATAAAAAAAAATTTGTATCATCCCCAAATCTAAATGTAACCATCATAATATTGTATAAAAGGGATGTGAAAATTCTCCAGAACCATGACTTCATTCAAAATCACCTAACACCCCCTCCGTAGCAACACTGCATTTCTTATACACACCATACTGTAACTGCGAGACCTCTCTGACCCAGGCTGTGTGATAGACCACCTCGAATTCCACCAGAACATAGGAAATTTTGTTATACTGACGAATGACAGCTTTACCTTCCGCACTTGACAAAATTTCTGAGTTTTTCTGTTTTTTAAAGGGGGAAAAAAAGATTTATAATTAAAAGACTGCTGATTGTTTTCATAACCCAATCAGAAAGCTGTTGGTATTTAAAATGTCATCAAATAATTATGCCTTAGATTTTGCCTCAGAGTAAAACAGAGATGAGGAAAGCCATACAAACTAGAGACGGAAGTAGGGAAATGTTACTGGTGGAAAGGGAACATTGGAAAAGGAAATAAAGGATTTAAGAAAGAAAGGTCTCTAGCCTAAACAGCTGGCCAGGCTGAGAGAACTCTGCCTTCAATTCTCTATTCCCTCCCCACCATTCTGGATATCAGTTTTGTATTTTCTATACTGTGTGGGTTTGAAATATTTAATTAATAATAATATTTTTAAAAAAGGAAAAAAGATACAATGGACTGATTTTCCTTGACCTGTGAGTATCAGGGAAAATCCCCAAGTTCCAGCACTGAAAAAAAAAGTAACTGTATATCAAAGAACAAAAACCAAATTTCTTTATGTAAACATCGAACATTTTATGTTTGATTCGCAGATGTTAAAAACAGGGCAATCTTGGCTCTGTCATGCAGAGTCAATCAGCAATGGAGTCCCCACCCTGACCACTATTTTAAGACCAGGCTTTGAATTTTTTTTACAAATAGTAAGAACAGTAAAATGATTAAGAGCAGCCGAACAGAAACAATGGAAACTTAACATCCAAGAATGCTTAAATACTAAAATTACTTGCAAGATTTTTTTGGTACTTATTTTGTTCTGTATTTAGGCATAAGATGCTGTCCTAAGAAAACCAACTCTACTTTGTGAGTCTGTCTCTTTACAAAATCAAACCAAACCAAAAACAAAGAGAAGGCAAACTGGCAATTTCAGAATGCCAACAGGGCCTAAGAGTATCCTGGGGCTTTTCAGAAATCTAATAATTTTAAGGACACAGAGAAGGCATGTACTCTATTATACTTTGCTCTAGATCTCAATTCTTAAGTCAGGAACATACTAAGAGTGTCTTCACCTTCACTAATACGAGTCAGTGACCCACTGACCACACATAGAAGTAATCTTCAGGACTACGCCTAGACTTTACTGTTTTCAAAACAATGACTCTTTAAAAGCCTTGAAAAGGGGCACCTGGGTGGCCCAGTCGTTAAGCATCTGCCTTCGGCTCAGGTCATGATCCCAGGGTCCTGGTATCAAGCCCCACATCGGGCTCCCTGCTCAGTGGGAAGCCTGCTTCTCCCTCTCCCACTCCCCCTGCTTGTGTTCCTGCTCTCGCTATCTCTCTCTCTGTCAAATAAATAAATAAATAAAATCTTAAAAAAAAAAAAAAGCCTTGATAAACTGTCCTGTTAAAAGTCATAAGGTTATAAGATTCTCCCCCTTAAAGATTAACTGTAATTAAGTGAGCTTACCTACCAAAACATGAGAGAATTGGTTTAGTCTCCCTCAAGCATATTTATAAACTAAATTTTCTTTGCCTTGTGAAAGCAGTAGCTCTAACTACTTTATTGGACACAAACATTATAGGATAAAATATAGGTCTTATTTTAAAGCCACCATGATCCTCATACTGTAAATGTAACTATTGGCTTACAAAGAAATAGTTGATGGGTTCACTTATCCGTCGATAGAGCTGCCTCACCCAAAGTATTTTTCCTGCAATAGGGGGCATGTTGCGAGCAAGAGGAGGGTCATCTTTTTGAGAATGATAAAGCTGTAATTAAAGATCTGGTATTAATGTTTAAAATTCAATATAATGGAAAAGGCAAAAAGTATTTAATACATTTGTATTCCCATGTTTTATACAGAGGAGGTAGTCTATAAATATGTAAATGCACTTCAGTGATAATCTGTGGTTCAGAAACTATGATGTTTACAATATATGACATTTAATTCTCTCTTAACCCTTATGTCCCATTGCATGTATCTTTTTTCTGTATTTTATCCCAAATTTTAAGGAGATCTTCAAATAAGGGAGTACATAAGCTATACTATATGTTATAATATTCTTCAGAGCCCATATTTCTGCATGCAGAAATATTAACTTCAATGGGCTTTCCTATACACACATAAATGCTGTTGCAAAAAAACACTAAAAAAACAAAACACAATTGTTATGTGCATGGGGATATAAATCTGGTTGTCCAATGACATACACCATCAACACCTTCCTACATAGAGAAGGGCGCATCAGAGGTACTTAGTAGTGAAGGGATCATTCTGAGAAGCTTAGCACAAGATAACAATGGCAAATACTTTCACAATACTTTTCTTTTTGTACTAAAGTACTACTCTGGGGGAGGGCCTGGGTGGCTTAGTTGGTTAAGTGTCTCCCTTCGGCTCGGGTCATGATCTCCAGATCCATGTCCTGGGATCAAGCCCCGAGTTGGGCTCCCTGCCCAGCAGGGAGTCTACTTCTCTCTCTCTCTCTGCCCCTCCCCACTACTTGTTCTCTCACTTGCTCTCTTTCTCTCTCTCAAATAAATAAATAAAATCTTTTAAAAAATAAAGTATTATTCTATTTACAAAAATGATCCTTGCCTTCTTAGTAGCTTCAAGTTCAGCCACATAAAACTGAAGAATACGCTCAATTGTATGGTTTATTTCTGACTGAAGACAGGGGATTTGCAGCTTCTGGAATCTGAAAGTAATTGAAGGTGAATAATTTAAAAGTAAATGAGAAACATACTTAATTGCTGCCATCCTAAAAACCCATGCATTCACTCATTTTGACAAATATCTCTACCAGGCCTCATCCATTGTCCCAGGATTCAGAGAGGAACACAACAGGTGTAGTTCCAGCCCTCTTGGAGCCTCCAGTTATGTTATGGAAAATGCAGATTTAGTCAAGAGTTACATAAATAATTATTTATACTACACAGGTACCAGAAATGCATATATCAAGGGAACCCAGCCAAGTCTGGGGAGTCGAGAAAGACTTCTCTTAGAAGGAGACATTGAAACCAAAATTGAAAAGATGAGTTGGGGGGTTGGCTTCACAAAGATGGAGGCCAGCACACTGAGCATCCCTCTGCCAGTATTAATGTTCACATATTCCAAATGGCCATATCATAACAATGATCTGTCAGCCAAACATTACTTCCCCTTTCAGACTAAGTGATGCACAGGAAGCACTAGGACAATAACATCCCAATAATAAAGTGATTTTACACCAGTGTACTATAGGTAAAAAGAGAGACAGATGGACCGCAAGATAGATAGAGACACAGAGAGAAATCACCAAGAAATTAGTAGTGCCATCTGTCTGTACAGTACTTTCATTGGTCAAAATCATTTCATAAGTCTGGTTTGACTCTTTCAGTGGTGTCATGAGGTAAGGTCTCATAGGTATGGTCCATCATTACAAAGACGTGGAACTCTAGCAAAACTGGGCCCAAACCCAGAGGCACTGGCTCTCAGGAAAGAGTTCCCAAAGGGTCCCTAACAGAGGACATGAGTCCTCCCTGAGCTCGAAGGAAATGGCCTGTAGTCCAGGCTGTCCTTCCTGCCCTTCAGGGGAGCACTGTTGTCAGGATAGAGGAAAAGGAAGCAGCAGGAACACTCTGGAGGAAAATGGGAAATTTGAGAATCTACTACCCTTAGATAATTTAACTTTTGGAAATCCTTGCAGTATGCAGAATTAAATATTATTTGCTCCCTTTCCAATAATGTCTATGAAATTAACCTCAAATGTATTACATACCTGGAGGAAAAATCATGTATAATAATTCCATTTTCTTATCGGAAGACTTTTGCTTCAAAAAATGCAATGAAAAGTATCATACTATATTTCACATTTTTACCAGTTTACTTAATGGTAATTGAAAGATTAATGTTTATAAGTCTTAAAGTTTACAGAGAGGAGATTTCCAAAAATATCTTATTTGAAATTGTATTTTCAGATATAAAGTTATCACACCTAGAAACTACACCGCTTAATGTATTATAAATACCTTTGAAGCAGCTGAAGGGCCTGCTGAGAAGATAAGATTTTCCCAAAAGTACTGTTCATAAATGCTTGTATTTGTATCTAAAATAAAATATTAATATTCCATTGATTTGGGGCATTAAGAAAGAGATTGTTTTTGTTTAACAACAATTAATGATTTTTCTACAGAATCAAAATAACCTGAAACACACCTACCATCTAAGCATCTAGAACTGCACTATCCAGCATGGTGGCCACATGTGGCTACTGAGCACTTGAAATGTCAGTATTTGGAAGTGAGATGTAAAGTAAAATGCACACTAGATTTCAAAGGCTTAGCACACACACACAAGAATGTAAAATATCTCAATGATTTTTATTTCAACATGTAAAATGGTAATATTTTGAATATTTGGGTTGAAAAAATGTATTATTAAAATTAATTTCACCTGCTTCTTTCAACTCCTATTCATGTGGCTACTAGAAAAATTAAAATTACATATGTGGTTTGCATTTGCTGCTTATTATTTATTGGATATGACTGACCTAAAGATTTATAAAAGGAGTGTATGTCCCTTACCAAGCTTATTTCTTGGAACATTTAGAATTTCTAAGCATATTGGGAGAGCAACGTGACACTGTAGACACCCAGGGTCAACAGGTGTCATTTTACAACACTGCTGCTCTCAGAAACCCTTTTGCAACATTAAGGAAGAACAAGAAAAAGAAAATATTATTCTAAGACTCCCACCATCCTTAGCAATGAACTCCAAACTCCTGGTACCCAATGGAACTGACGCTCTTAGCAAATTACTTTCACTTATAAATTGGCATGGTCTACTAATATAGGCCATGTTTATTAATCAAAATTTGGGAGAGGAAGGAAAATTTAAACACTGACACCTCTTTGAAAATATTAAAAATTTAAGATGGCCTCTAAATACACTGTTAAAATTTGTACATAAGGCCACAGAAAAGCCTTTATAACATACAATCTTTATTAATAAATCATAAAAATATGGGATGCAGCAAAAGTAGTTCAAAGAGGGAAGTTTATAGCAACACAGGCCTGCCTCAAGAAGCAAGAAAAATCTCAAATACACAACCTAACATTTTACATAAAGGAGCTAGAAAAAGAAGAACAAATAAAACCCAACACCAGCAGAAGGAAAGAATTAATAAATATTATAGTAGAAATAAATGACATAAAAACTGAAAAGCAAAACAGAAAACAATAGATCAATGAAGCCAGCAGCTCATTCTTTGAGATCAACAAAATTGATAAACCTCTAGCCAGAGTCATAAAAGACAAAGAAAGAGAGAGAAAAAGAGGACTCAAACAAAATCACTAATGAAAGAGGAGAAATAACAACCAACCCTAAAGAAGACAATTGTAACAGCATATTATGAAAACCTATATACCAAAAAATTGGACAACTTAGAAGAAATGGATAAATTCCTAGAAACATTTAACTTCCCAAAACTAAAGTAGGAAGAAATAGAAAATTTGAACAGACCAATTACCAGAAATGAAATTGAATCAGTAATCAAAAGACTTGCAATACAAAAGCCCAGGATCAGACTGTGTCACAGGCAAATTCTACCAAATATTTAATGAAGAGTTAATACCCATTCTTCTCAAACTATTCCAAAAAATACAAGAGGAAGGAAAACTTCCAAATTCATTTCATGAGGCCAGTATCACCCTGATACCAAAACCAGATAAAGACATCACAAAAAAAGATAACTACAGCCCATTATCTCTCATGAATATAGATGCAAAAATCCCCAACAAAATATTAGCAAACCAAATCCAACAATATATTTTAAAAATCACATACCATGATCAAGTAGGATTTATTTCATGGATGCAGGGGTGGATTAATATTCACAAAACAATTGACATGATAGATCACATCAGTAATAAAAAAGGATAAAAACCATATGACAATTCAACAGATGCAGAAAAGCATTGGACAAATTACAACATCCATTCATGATAAAAAACCCTCTGTAAAGTAGGCCTAGAGGGAACATATCTCAACTTAATAAAGCCCTTATATGAAAATCCACAGCCAAAATCATACTCAATGGTGAAAAACTGAGAGCTTTTCCCCCAAGGACAGGAACAAGTCCACTCTCACCACTTTTATTCAGCATAGTATGGAAGACCTAGCCACAGCAATCAGACAACATAAAGAAATAAAAGGCATTCAAATTGGTAAGGAAGAAGTAAAATTCTCACTATTCGTAGATGACATGACACTATGTATAGAAAATCCCAAAGACTCCACCAAAAAACTACTAGAACTGATCAATTCAGTAAAGCCACAGAATACAAAATCAATATACAGAAATCTCTTGCATTCCTATACACCAATAATGAAGCAGCAGACAGTGAAATGAAGAAAACAATCCCATTTATAATTATCCAAAACCAATAAAATATCTAGGAATAAACTTAACCAAAGAGGTGAAAGACCTGTACTCTGAAACCTATAAAACACTGATGAAAGAAATTCAAGACAACATAAAGAAATGGAAAGACACTCCATGCTCATGAGTTAGAAGAAGAAATATTGTTAAAATGTCTATACTACCCAAAGCAGTCTTCAGATTTAATGTAATCCTTATCAAAAGACCCACAGCATTTTTCACAGAGCTAGAACAAACAACCTTAAAGTTTGTATGGAACCACAAAAAACCCTGAATAGGCAAAGCAATCTTGAAAAAGAAAAAACTGGAGGTATCACAATTCCAGATTTCAAGTTATATTACAAAGCAGTAGTAGTTAAAATGGTATAATACTGGCATAAAAATAGACACATAGATCAATGGAATAGAACAGAAAACCCAGAAATGGACCCACAATGATATGGTCAATTAATCTTCAACAAAGGAGGAATGAACATACAATGGGAAAATGACAGTCTCTTCAACAAATGGTGTTGGGAAAACTGGACAGCCACATGCAAAAGGATTAAACTGAGCCACTTTCTTTCACCACACACAAAAATAAACTCAAAATAGATAAAAGACTTAAATGTGAGACCTGAACCCATAAAAGTCCTTGAAGAGAGCACAAGCAGTAATCTCTCTGACATTGGCCCTAGTAAACATTTTTCTAGATATGTCTCCTGAGGCAAGAGAAACAAAAGCAAAAATAAACTATTAGGTCTACATCAAAATAAAAAGCTTCTGCACAGCAAAGGAAACAATCAACAAAACTAAAAGGCAACCTACTGAATGGAAGAAGATATTCGTAAATGATGTATCCAATAAAGGATTAGTATCCAAAATATATGAAGAACTGATACAACTCAATACCCCAAAATAAATAATCCAATTTAAAAATGGGCAGGGGGCACCTGGGTGGCTCCAGTAGTTAAGTGTCTGACTCTTGATTTCGGCTCGAGTCATGATCTCAAGGTCAGGGGATCAAGCCATGCATCAGGCTCCATGCTCAGCAAGGAGCCTTCTTAGGGTTTTCACTCTCCCCCTCCTTCTGCCCCTCCCCCTGCTCTCTCTCTCTCAAATAAAATAAAATAAAATAATAAAAAAAATTGTTTAAATGGGCAGAAGACATGAACAGACATTTCTTCAAAGAAGACATACAGATGGCCAACAGATACTTGAAAAGATGCTCAATGTCACTCATCATCAGGGAAATGCAAATCAAAACAACCATGAGATATCATCTCACACCTGTCAGAATGACTAAAATCAACAACACAAGAGACAACAGGTGTTGGCGAGGATGTGGAGAAAAAGAAACCCTCTTGCACTGTTAGTAGGAATGCAAATTGGTGCAGCCATTGTAGAAAACTGTATGGAGGTTCCTTAAAAAATTAAAAATAGAACTACCCTCTGATCCAGTAATCACACTACTGGATAGTGTGGCTCACCCAAAATTTACAAAACACTAATTCAAAAATCTACATACACCTCTATGTTTACTGCAACATTATTTACAATATCCAAACTATGGAAGCAGATCAAGTGTCCATCGATAGATGAATGGATGAAGATGTGGTATATATACAATGGAATATTATTCAGCTATAAAAAAGAATGAAATCTTGCCATTTGCAACATGGATAGAGCTAGAGTATAATGTTGAGTGAAACAAGTCAGTCAGAGAAAGACAAATATCATAGGATTTCACTCATATGTGGAAATTAAGAAACAAAACAAATGAGCAAAGGAAAAAAAAGAGAGAGAGAGACAAACCAAGAAACAAACTCTTAACTATAGAGAACAAACTGATGGTTACCAGAGGGGAGGGAGGTGGGGGGAATGGGAGAAGTAGGGGATGGGAATTAAAGAATACATTTATCATGATGAAAAAAAATTAAATGATAAAAAATAAATTATAAAAATTTAAGCAGGGGTGCCTGGGTGGCTCAGTCTGTTACACTTCTGACTTTGGCTCAGGTCATGATCTCAGGGTCCTGGGATTGAGACCTGCATTGGGCTCCCTGCTCAGCGAGGAGTCTGCTTGTCTCTCTCCTTCTGCTCCTCCCCCTGCTTTTGCTCTCTCTCTCTCTCTCAAATAAATAAAATCTTTAAAAAAATAAGTTAAGCAATAAGTTTTTTTTTTAAACCCACAAATTCCCATTGCCATAAAGCTATAACGCCTAGAGCATTTTGGAAGCAAACTCCATTCTGCCCAACCAGCCAAACACTGTAAGTAATAACTAAAACATATCTTAATATCAAACAAATTGATATTTCAAAACTTAATTTCAAAAACTGAAAGGAAATCTATGTCAAAAAGAAATGGTACTGTTAGAATTTTAGTATCATTCTTATTTATATTGCCTAGATTACCTTAATATAATTTTTAAAGAATCTTTAAAAAATAAATGAAAAAAATATATATATATAGCATTCCTCACCTTCATGGCAAGAATTTCAGATTCAGGAAGCGGATAGAGTATATTCCTGTCCCTCTCTGTATCTCCAGGACATTCTGCAGCAAAAGGAGACCATTCCCTGGGGCTAAGCCTGGGTTTACAGTAGTTTACAGTAAGATAGTAACTGAGGTCATGTAAGCCCAAAAGGTGGGAGAGAAATATGTTGCAGTGTCACCAGACATATTATTTTTAAGTACCCTTCATCCTTCTGGTATCCCTTAAGCTATGACAAACAGGATGAGGTCCTCTTTAGAGCTGTCCTCTAAGCTGTAGAGAGAATGTGGCCATAAAGTACAAGGCCAAGGGGAGAGCGGGCCATCTTCCTAATTTGTCCTCAAATCTTTTCACACTTAAAACAAAAAATAAGGATTACACACTTTCTCTCAGCCTGGAAAAATGACACTGGCTCCTCAGCACAACAAAAACCAAATACAAATTCCAATGCAAACTAAAAATGAACCCCAGCTATAATAACCCTTTGGCCTTCTGGGTATTCATTGATATCTTTTACTGAATATGCTCATTTTTCATTAAAAAAAAGATGGAAAATATTTTGTGGACTAGTTAAAAAATTTTTCACGCTGGCAAATAGTTTTGATCAATTACACAACAGTAACTTCTAATAAATAGTAAATATGTGAATTCCAGTACTATTGGTTACATTTCAGCTTTACTAAAGTAAAAGTATGTATAATTACTTACCTCTAAACCACTGATTTTTGTCATGAACTCTGAGAAATCTGTATCAAATTCTGTCCTTCTTGGATCCAAAATGTCATATTGTTTTTTCTTAACCCCTTGATACATGTTTTTGAATTTTATTGACATAATATCTATTCCCTCTATGGTGGAATTACTCAAGGCTGAATATGTTTGCACAATAGTTATCATTTCTGTAATCTTAAAAAGAGAAGTGTTATTTTAGAAATGGGATATTAGGACCCTTCCCTAGAATAAACTCTTAATGAATCATTGATTTAAAAAAACAAACCAAGGGGCACTTGGCTGGTTCAGTTAGCACAGCATGTGACTCTTGATCTTGGGGTTGTGAGTTCGAGCCCCATGCTGGGTGTGGAGATTACTTTAAAACAAATTCTTTAGGGGCACCTGGGTGGTGCAGTCAGTTGAGCATCTGACTCTTGGTTTCGGCTCAGTCGTGATCTCAGGGTGATGAGATGGAGCCCCACACACGGCTCTGCACTCAGCATGGAGTCTACTTGGGTTTTTCTCTCCCTCTCCCTCTCCCTCTCCCTCTGCCACTCCCCACTGTGCTCTCTCTCTCCTCTCTCAAAATAATAAATCTTTTAAAAAATCTTTAAAATAAATAAAAAAAATAAAGAAAGAAAAGAAAAAATAAAAAACAAACCAATAAACAGCCCCTAAGATCATTTAGCTAAAACCAGCCAGAGGAGATAAAATAGAAGACAAATCTCTGTCACCAATCATTACTATTCTTAGACTATTTCTATCATATCCAGAGAGGGCTTGCTACATTTCTCAGATCTTGATCACTTTGTCTCTCAAAAGGGGAAAGGAAAGAATTTGAGTAAAAGCTCTTACAGATATCTGAATAGCTTCATCCTTTTGCTCTGGAGAATTTTCTGAAAATCATTTTCAAAAGCTTTAGCATTCTTCTTGGCCCTCACCACAGTTCTGATATGTAAGTCTAGCATAAATCCACCTGTGTTTTCCCTTTCACCTGTATTCAGGCAACCAAAGGCCCAAGAAGCCTGAAGACAAATGCAGTCCCTTCTGACCCTCAGGAGACTTGGGAAACCCTCAAAATGAACTTAACTAACAAATGGCTGCCTCTCGCTCAATGTACCACCACCACCTACTTCACACACCAAAAACAAAAGTCCTTCACGTCTACAGGCTACTCAGTTCCTGAATCTTCATCAGTGATTCCCCACTTTGATTCCTGCTTTGGAGAACAATGCTCAAAGCTCTCCAGGATGGGCCCATGCGTCCAATTGCCAAACAGAAAATAAACCTGTTTTCAGGGGATTCCTCCAAATATTACACACCATGAAGACAACACTACTGGTCCTCCTAAGAAGCCTGCAGAATTTACATAAACTCCCTGTGCACGTCAACCCAGATGACCATTTTCAGAGCAACTTTCACTCTTACACCACTATTTCTGTACACTTCCAAACACCACTGTCATCCTAGAAGCCAGCCCAAACCTGGAGGAAATACAAACTGCCTGCAATTTGCAGCATGCTGTATATACTGTATGTAAAGATGAGAAATACTTGGGTCTCCTACCAACACATACAGTCCACTCACCTTAAAAAACAAAAACAAACTGCAGAACTCAAACTACCCACATGCTCTGCTTTTCTAACCTGCCAAGATCCTGCCCATTATCCCTTACCCTGCCACCTGGTCCCAACAGCCAGATGCTGGGATGGAATTCCTGCCACTAACACAACCTCCATTTTGTCCATGGGTGGCTGAGGAGTCATCAAGAGGCAGAGACAGCAGTCTGTCCCAGGCTTGGCCTTTCGAACTCAGCCAGTATGTCTCCCACTCCCAACACCACATAGCAACAACGTGAAAGCCAGTCATGGTGATCAACCTCGACCATGCTCCTGCTTGTTTGTTCTTATCTTGGCTTTTTCATCAGCTCTCTCTTTATCCGCTTTTGACCCTCTGATTGACAACCAACTTGTAATCCCTTCTCTGCTCACCAGCCTTGGCACCCTTTCCAGTTCTCAACTTGCTATGTTTGTCTCATCTCAGCATCACCCTACCCCACCTACAAGGCTCCAGTGCCTTAAATCTCCCCCCAGCAATACCAGCTTCCCATCCCTTCTCTCTCATAAACGTTTGGGGTGAGAAGAAAATAAAACTAAAGACAGGGCTCTGGGAAACACCAATATTCACCAAAATTCATATGGCAGGAAGAGGAAAAAGAAGCAAAGTACATCCTTAATTCTGGCTCTTTAGGACAGACTAACCCTTAATGCACCATCAAGTCTCCACCTATCAACAGAAGGTGCACTTCAGGCAACCTAGTGACATACAAGAACTTTCCTCACTTGTTCTTAAACATTTCTGCCTAACTCTGAGGTCTCAGCTCTCCAACCCCAACCTCAGTGCTGTCTGCCCTGTGACTTTGCCATGTGTTCATCCTGACATCTTAATCTCTGCTTTCCCTAACAGGCTTTGACTTAGCTTGCCCTTCTGACTCTTCTCTTCTACTATATCAGAGTTTACAGAGGTAGCCCAACAGTGGTCCCTACTGTGGCCCACTCATCAGGAGAAGCCCATCCAGGTAGCTCAGTAACCACCTCTGGGAGATTATGGAAAACCCTGGCCACATTTCAGGGTACATTTTATAGCCCCATCTTTGCAAATCTGGATACCAATATTCACCAGTTACACATGGGACTGATGCCTATCAACTAAGGGATTCTTAGTACAAGGGAATTGGGATAACCTAGCAATCAGAATGCACTTTAGGTGAAGTCTCCAGGGGGGTGCTGCATTAGCTTGGGTTGCTGAGCCCTTGTGGCATGAAGTTGTATCCTTAAGATTAGAGGCAAGACTTCTCCAGAGGTAGAGTCAGGTAATTGGTTAGTGCAGCTGGCCATTACCACCCACTTCCTCTAGCATCAGGAATATTCAGGCTGCTACTTCATGGATAGATGCCCATTATGCCCAGCATTAGACCTGCCACCAAAATCTTTACTGCTAATGGGCTAACCATTAAAGTCCAACCCTGAAACTCTACCAAGGGTAAAACTATACCCAAATTGTCAAGGGGACTAGCCCCTGGAAAAATTTAGAATAACCAAGACCTACCCCAAGCTTTACACTACAGTGCATTCAGAAACATTAAGCATCTTTATGGAACAAGGTCTGACCAATGGCACCTCCATGCCAATAACCTTCTAATTGGACATTTGTCCCCAAGAAATCTCTATTGTTCACAAAACAACTCCATACAACAGTTTCCTACATAGAGTACAAAAGCACAAGCAACAGAAAAAAATCATAAATTGGACTTTACCAAAATTAAAAACTATTGTGCTTCAAAGGACACCATCAAGAAAGTGAAAAGATAACTCACAGAATGGATAAAAATATAATATCTGATAAGAGACTCATACCCAGAATATATAAAGAACTCTTACAACTCAGCAATAAAAATACAAATAACAAATTAAAAATGTGCAAAGGATGTGACTATAATTTCTCCAAAGAAGAATTATGAATGGACTATAAGCAAATTAAAAGATGTTCAACATCATTAGTCATCAGCAAAATGCAAATCAAAACCATAGTGAGATAGATGTTACTTCACACCCTCTAGTTTGTCTAAATTCAAAAAGGTAGACAATAATAAGTATTGACAAGGATGTGGAAAATCAAAACCCTCATACATTGCTGGTGAAAATGTAAAATGACACAGCTGTTTTGAAAAATGGTTTGGCAGTTCCTCAAAAAGTTACCATATGGCCCAGAGATTTCAATCCTATGTATATACTCAAGAGAAACAACAACATGTGTCCACACAAGAACATGTACAAACATGTTCACAGCAGCATTATTCATACTAGTTAAGAAGTGGAAACAACCAAAGTATCCATCAACTAATGAGTGGATAAATAAAATGTGGCATCCATAAAATGTCATATGATTCAGCAATAAAAAATAATGCTACAACATGGATGAACCTTCAAAACATGATGCTAAGTGAAAGATGTCACTCACAAAAGACCACATATTATATGATTTCATTTATATAAAATGTTCCAAACAGGCAAATCTATAGAAACAGAAAGTAGATTAGTGGCTGCTTAGGGGTGAGTAGAGGGGAGAATAGAGTGTGAAAGGTGGATGGGGTTTTTTAGTGGGAACAAAAATGTGCTAAAATTAGACTATGGTAATGGTTACACAACGCTTTGAATATATTAGAAAATACAGACTTGTACAATTTAAATTGGTGAATTGTACAGTATGTGAATTATATCTCAGTAAAGCTGCTAAAGAAACAAACAAAAAAACAGCTCCACACAAGCATGTATGAAGGATCCCACTCAATAACTTGGTTCTCTTCATCACCCACACTTTCCTATCCTGGACAGATCAGGAGAGTACAGATAAAAACCAGGCTTCCAGACATGTCTAGGAGATGCCCTTCAACCTGTGTGATGCCCTCACCAATTCCCAACAAATGATGAACAGAATCCTAAATATTACCAGGACCTAGGGAGTGGGCCAACTCCTGGAGGAGAAGAAGGGGTGGTACCTACGTGATATCTTTATACACTTTTCAAAAGCTGACTCCAAGAAGCCTCTGGTATGGGCTTCCCGATACCCCCTGAAAAAATATCACCCCCTCAGCTAGAGCTAATACATGAATCAAAGGTGAGGTGTCTGACCCGTGCCTGCCCAGCAAAGGCTCCCTCACACAATGTTTAGGTATACACCATTTTTACTGGCCTAGAAAGAGAAGGTGTCTATACATCCAGATATTGCACTACTACTGGGTTCCACCAGGTATTGTGGGCATTTCACCACACACTTTTCCTCAGCCTAATACAATCGTTAGACACAGAAGCTTCTAAGGTCAAGCTCCATAGGTAGAGGTAGAATTGAGGTCTTGACAGAGGGGAAAGTCTGCAATAGCTTTGCAGTCATCAGGACTGAAAAATAAGTTAGACCAAAATGTAGTGATCTGTAAGTAATAGGAACAGATTCATATCAACAGTGAGACAAGAGATCCAGGTCAGTAATTCTCAACTGTGCCACATAAAGTACGAAATAACCAGAAGGGGAGGGGTGGTGTGGATACAGTGACTGAATATTGGTTACCTTCTCCAGTCTTTTGCAGAAAGCTTCAAATTTTCCAAATATATACATTTCTGAAACCTCAAAAGATTTTTCCCCTGAGGATTCTAAAATCTGTTTCCTTGTTTTATGAAAAGATGTCTGATATTCCTTGAATAGAAAAATGCAATCCTATGAGAAAATTGAAAGAAGGAGAGAACAGGTGATGAGAGTTTATTCAGGAGTCAATCATTCAAGAATCTGTCCTCATGCAGAACTGATCACACCAGCCCAACAGGAGCTGTTGCTGTTGAAATTAAAACTCAAGTTCTCCACCTACATATTGAGAAGTCTGGGAATGTGAATGTAGTTTCCTCTTAATTTACATCATATTATTATCTTCTTCATTCTCACTATTTCCCTTCTCTCCTATCCTTACCAGAGTATGCAATACATTGTTTGCACATTTTCATGGCTAATTAGAACTCCTGGGGGTCAGAAATTATCTCTCAATTCTATTTATTATCACTCATCTATCACTTAGTATCTGTCTTCTCTTCAGCATTCCTTACATACAGGTATGTAAAATATTAAGACTCTGCAATACTAATTTATTGTCCAACCACTGTTTCTCCACAAGGAAATCCTAGAGTCTTTGTGAGTACATTGCTGAAACCCTAGTATTTGATTACAGTTGTCCCACTGGCCAGGCTGGAGAACCTGTTAGAAATATAAAAGAGGACACAGTCCCTAGGGTCCAATAGGAATTCTCTGTCATTTTGAGTTAACATTTCCAACAAACCATTAAAAAAAATAATGTTGGGGCGGAGCAAGATGGCGGAGGAGTAGGAGACCTGGATTTCATCTCCTCTCAGGAATTCAGCTGGATAGGGATCAAACCATTCTGAACACCTACAAACTCAACAGGAGATGGAAGAAAAGAATAGC